CGTGGAAACAGAGAGAGAGAGACACTGGGCTAAGTTTTTTTTCTTTCCTACTCCTCTTGGCTGGGAGACCGACTGCAACCACCCGCTCCCATCCCCCTGTGCTTCGAGGCAAAGGGGGAGGGGGAAGGTGAAACCAGGAACAAAAGCTGCGCCAGGGAAGAAGGGAGGGGTGGGGGGAAGGTGTTTTGATTTTAAGATCTGGTTGTATCTCCTATTGTTCTACTCTGATGTTGGTAACAAATTAAAATGGTTTTGGTTTTTTTATTCCTTATGATGAGTCTGTCTTTTGCCTGTGACCTGTTTAAGTGGTGAGAAGCCCTCCCAGTCCTTATTTTGACTAGCCCTTTTTTGGGGGGCATTGTGGTGCTCAGTTATGCACTGGACCTCAACCACGACACAAGCCTGCGTGGGTTGTTCTCCATAGCGAGGGTTTGCAGCTGTCACAGCAGGACTGTAAAGAGGTGATGTTTTCCTGTGGATGCTGTCAACCACAGTCATGCTTTGGTGGAGAGTAGGAAAGTAATCTGTCTCCCTATTGCTCGTTTCCATTGACTTCTGCTAAAAGAAATGCATAGAGTGGAAGGATGGGCAGTAATTATTCACACAGTGGCACTTCAGTGATATTTTTCCCTACTGTTTCCACAGAAGAACCTTAACATGTGTTTTGGTGATAGTCACGTGCAGCTCAGCCTCCAGCAAAGACTGGGGCAAGATTGTCAGCAGCTGACTGCAGCTGATTGTCAGCTGCTGGCTGTCATTTCACGTATTAGACTGGAAAAACAAAGCAAGCAGGAACCTCGCACATGGCTTAGTCCTATTCCCAGTGCTATTACACACCATAACATCCCAGTTCATCAACTGAATTCACCTTTAAATAATGTGCTCAGCAGCACATGGAAGGGCAGAAGTCTTTGCTTCCCCAGGCAGAGATCAGGCAAATCCAGCTGTTAGAAATGTACTGCAGTTTCTTGGCAGCTCAAAGTATAACCTTGCCTAGGTACAGGTGTGGAGGCAGTCAGATCTGCCTTCCCCTGGACGGTTTCTCTGGCCTGTCCCTTTCTCTTCCAGGAGGTGGTTGCTGCATGCCTTCCCTTCTTCTAGCGTTACGTATAGTAATGGGTTTAGGGCTAACATTTTTAACACCATTCAGTGAGGGGAAGCCAGCTGTATGGATATTTGATGCCCCAGTCAGGGAGAAGGGAAAAGAAATACGGACAGGATCAAGGTTAGAGTAAAAAAATACATACAGTGCAGCACAGTAAAGGAACATATGAAAGGCAATGAACAGAGTGGCCTTGAGAATGGATTCCTCCTCTTGATCCCAGAACTATGTGCCAGACTATAGTGACCTCTGCCTACCTGGCTCAGTTGTGGTGCTATTGCAGACGTGATTAAAACAATAAGGATCTCTAAAGTCTTTTATTCAGGAGACTAACAGAACTGTATTTCCATTTCTTACAACTGAAAAAGGTCAAGAATGGAAATGTTTACAGCTTTAGTGATTTTACTGATTTTTACAACAAAAGAACGTATTTTCTTACTTAAAAATAAAATGGCATCTTTTGATGGAAAAGCCACTTGCAAGGTTTGGAATCTTTCCATTTCCCAGCAGAACAGGTTTGTACATTCACTGGATAAAATCTACGCTATGTGAATCAAGTTTATTTACCAGCTGATTTGTAATAAGAATCAAATTAGTTTTTCAAATGTATCTTCCTGGTTCTGTTTCATGTATGGGAGGCAGTGCATCATCTGGAGAAGTTTCTGGCAAACGTATAAGACATATTTGCTTTGTTTATAAAAGCTTTGGAAATCATGCAGGCATCTGTACTTCCATGTTGAAAAGGATTTTATTGAACTGTTTTGCCATCAGGCGTGGTTTACTTGATCTTTGTCATTTTGTGGCTCTGGAATTAATAACTGGCTGCTAATTGTGACCCACGTGGTTTTGCGCTCTCTGTCAAACTGCATTTCAAATAAAATACAATCTACCAAAAACATGTGAGGCTCATTAAGAAATATTCAGAGCACAGTGAAACTTCATGCGCTGGAATTACATTTTCAGAATCAACTTGGTTTTGAATGAAATCTCTCATATTCTGTGTTTCATTTCATCTTGCAGAGAAAATGTCTGGAAGAGTTTCTCTAAATGTTCTGTTTCTTAAGCTTAACACTGCTTAGGAAGCTGGAGCAGGTGGCTCATAGGGATGCTGTGCGCTCCATCATGTGCACATTACAGTTTCTGCAGGAGCATAAACACAAATTCTTGACTCCCTTGGCAAACATTTAGTCATGTACATTCAGCATGCATGTTTCCTAGCATATGAACAAGTACTGGCACAAGTTGGAAGTCAGTAAAAGTGAGCCTGTACATTCCAACTCAGAAGAAGTCCAGTACGAAAACGCAGTTGATGAGATATTTGACATCGTGAAACATCATTTAACAGTATCTGGTTTGTTCTCTTAAAAGTATTCTCTGAATTACCTTAAACTTCTTCCTCCATTTCCCAATGCTTTTTTAATGAATCATGGGTTTTGTCACATTTTTGCTGATTTCAGATTTGTCTGGGTGGAAAAAGATGTATTTCTGGCCCTTTTTCACCTTTGGCTTGCACTTTGTTTCAGATGTACATCACAAGCACAATTAAAACAAAGAGCAGCAGGCTAGCCAAACCCATGCTGTGCCTGGGTACCCTGTGTGCTGCATTCCTCACCGGCCTAAACCGAGTTTCTGAGTATCGAAACCACTGTTCGGACGTGATCGCAGGCTTCATCCTGGGGAGCGCTGTAGCTTTGTTTCTGGTAAGCATATCAGTCCTTCCTCATTCCTTTTAAAAATACAGCAGTTTAAAAAAATAAAAAATTACTGTTCTCTTGTGGCCTATTGAAGCTGATTAATCCAGTTGCTAAGAACCAGTTTTAGCCCCATCTAATTAAAGGTATCATCAGAAAAAGCCCAATACGAAATAAGGTTGATACTAATTAATAAGGCTAATGTGATGCCATTTGTATATTGTATATATTTCAAGATTATTTGACTACTGTACATGTTCTTACTTGACCTGTCCTGAAGCTTGCTTTAAAGATCAGAGAATGTTGGGAGTTGGAAGGACCTCAAAAGATCATCCTGTCCAACCCCCCTGCCAGAGCAGGATCACCCAGACTAGGTCACCCAGGAACATGTCTAGGTGGGTTTTGAATGTCACCAGAGAAGGAGACTCCACAACCTCTCTGAGCAGCCTGTTCAGTGCTCTGTCACCCTCACAGTGAAAAAGTTCTTCCTTATGTTCAGGTTGAACCTCCTATGGTCCAGCTTGCACCCATTGTCCCTTGTCCTGTCATTTGACATTAGAGAGAAGATCCTAACTCCTTCCTCCTGACACTCGCTCTTTACAAATTTATAAACATGAATGAGGTCACTCCTCACTCTCCTCTTCTCCAAGCTAAAGAGACCCAGCTCCCTCAGCTGCTCCTCATAAGGGAGATGCTCTACTCCCTACATCATCTTTGTGGCTCTGCACTGGACCCTTTCAAGCAATGGTGTAGATTTCAGCTTATGTTGGAAAGGCGGCATGCTTGAGACTTTTCTCACACCCCTGTATTGCAAAACCTCACTGCCTGCCTGGTATATGGCAAAAATGTGGGATACAGAGTGCTTGCTGGAGCTCTTAAGCACTGTTCCTGGTTCCTCATTTTGTTTCAGACCATAATTGCAATAGAAAGGAAGGTCGGTAGACAACACTACCTCCTTTTGCAGCATTTGGAGTTGAGCTAAAATTGTTCACAATCTCACAGGTTAACCAAATGTAAATCAAAGGCCTTTCCACAGCATCTGGGAATAGCATCTCTCTGGACTTCGAATGTTTAAGTGTTTTATTTGGTGAGGGATCTCTTCCTGAGATTTACCCTTGATTTACCCACACAGCAGTCAAGATTATTTGCTTTATTACCAAGAATTGTGCCTGGTTGCATTTAATCAAGATATGGTTCAAAACTATCCTCTGCATAGCAACAGACACTTTATCCCTGTAATGAGGAGGGATTAGCTTTCAAAGGTCCTTTTAATCTAGATAGTTCTGTCACTATTTTTTTCTATTCTGTACTTAAAAAGAAAAAAACCTAAACAATAAATCTTCACGTATAATTTATTCCTTTGTTCCCTTTAAATAAAAGGATGTCTCCAACCTCTGACCTGAATCCTCTTGGCTCTAATGCAAGTAGTTTGTCCAATTCGCACTGGAAAAGGCAGTTTCAATCTAGCGCATGCAACATAAGAGACTGTCTCCCCATATTATCTGGTCAGGGCAATCTGTGTGCTCCTGGTACCTGTTTCTAGCAGTGACAGCCTGCTCACAGCCACATTTTGGCCCTGTAGACCTTCTGCCACCCTGCAAGCATCACAAGCCCAATTGCAGTGGTGAAAGACTACTGCAAGACTCCTGCTGCCAGCCCAAGGCTCACCTGCTCCTTGCTCAGGTCTAAAGACCATCAAAAAGGAACTGCCAGTAAGCAGCTAGCTGCAGAAATTGCTCTGATGTGCCAGCTCCTGGATGTCTTTTTTTTCATCATGTTCCCAAGCCCCAACCTGCTATGTGTGTTTGCTGTCATTAGCATCACCATACAGGTGCAGTAAGCCTGGTCATGCATCAGGGAGGGGCTTGTAGGACAAACACTACAGCAATTGTGCTGGAAGTATGCCAGAGTGGTGCTAAATGAGCTTGATGTCATCCAGATGTGAGGTAGCTTCAGCCATCAAGTGAGATGGTTTTGGCATTGGGAAATTATGGTCAGAGTCTGAAGCTAGTATTAGGCCAATAAAATGCATGATTTCAGTATTCTGTGGTTCTGTGATGATGAAGTAGAACATGGGAGTCTGCTGTATAAAACATAAGGCTGAGAATGTTTCATCACCTCAGACTAGAGGCCAGATGAATGCACTTGCCAAGGTAGTCCACTGCAACCGACTGTATCAGAAAATGCACTGTAGCCCAAGGCTGAGATAGATGATGTCTTGAACCAAAACCCAGGTTAAGTTCTTTGTAAAAACCGGCAGCTGTGAGACCCATGATGGTAATTCCTGTGAGTTCTTCCTGGGGACAGAACATGCTGAATTTACCTTTTTTTATGTTTCTTGCATTACACAGGCAATATGTGTTGTCCATAAGTTTAAAGGCACTCACGGAGCTCCTTGTAAACCGAAGCCTGAAGACCCACGAGGAATGCCACTCATGGCTTTTCCAAGAGTGGAAAGTCCTCTGGAGACATTGAGTGCACAGGTACTGTAAATCCTCTCAGACCATCGCCAAACAATTTCTGTTACAGCAGAGTAAAATAAGTTGTATACATAACTACACAGGGAGCTGGTTTTATTCCTAACATTAAGCCCATTGAAGAGAATTAATTTGCATCAGGAAAAGTTTGGTTTAAGTCACTTATCCCGTAAACTACCAGATACTGTAGATATTCTGCCCCTATGCACATCCAAAGCTAAAGCAGTAGGATTTTACATGCCTCTGTATATTGTTTGTAATAACAAACTTTTGCTTATAAGAATAGGAAACTGAGAGAAAAGTAAATATAATTCTTTCTAATTAAGCTTTGGAATGCTTTGGGCTGTCTTAAGGATTTACTCTAACATTCGTAATCCTGAGGATAAACCATGCTGTCCAGAAAAATTTATAGAGATTAGTTTTTTATCCTTATTATTGTTCAGAATCTTCTATGAGGAGAAATAATTTACTGTTTTCTATATCTAAGTCATCAGAAGAGAAGTTAATAGCATTATTTGAAGCTTGCAAAAAATAGGTTAGCAGGAGCATAATCATTAATGGCGTTTCTGTTGAACTGCTAACTTCAAATGGCTGTGCTGGTGTAACTGAATCATACCCAGTCCTTTCCTATCTGAAATGCCATGTTGTAATTTACTTGTTCTTCAAATTGTACTTCATTTACTAGATGGCCTGTCATTCCTGTGTACATGGTGTGTGGCAAGATCAAGAATAACTTTTGTTAAACCTTTTTACAAATAAACTGAAAATAGGAGTTATAATGAAAATGGAAAAGACACCATTTCTAACTCCTATGAATAGTTTGCTTAATTTAAAAGTCAATTTTGATTAGGTAAAGATTTGCTGGAAGGCTTTCAACTAAATCTGCAGAACTGTGTGCATTAACTTTCTCTTGCAGTCCAGAAACTAAGTGCTACTTACATATCCATATGTTATCGTGTATGACAAAAGAGATGAACAGGTGAAAATATTCATAGACTGTGAGAAACATTTTCTCTAGTCAGCTATCTCTAGCTTCTGGGCTGTGAAGTGCAGGTAGGGACTAGGCCTTAACTGTTGATGTCCACTATAAACAACACTGCAATTTTCCCTCATTCAGGCTGTCAGTCTCTAAATGACCATACATCTGCCATGTAGGAGTAGATTGGGAAAAAAATAATCATACTCTAAAGCTACTATAAACAAGTCATTGGGAGTGCCTGCTCATTACTGTTTCTTCAGATATAGAAGGTGCATCATCCTTCTCTGTGCAGATTTCTGCATCCATTGCTGCTCTTGTTTTGCCTTGCACCCACACAAACTGCAGATTCAACACGATCCATGGACAACTCAGTACTTCCACTGAAGTCCTGGACATTGGCTTCCAAGAAGGTTGAATCACCACTGTTTCCTCCTAAAAATACGTTCTGTGTTGCTATATATCTGTGGCTGCACGTGTTTTGGCATAATGACCCATCTCTATATGGTTTTAAGCTGTGTAGAACCTACATGCACACATGCCGTGAAGCCAAACCATGGCCTTTAACGCTCTTCATGACTGAGAACAGACACACTGCATTAGTTATGTGACTGTATGAAGTACTTGAGCCTGCACTGGCGTGTCCTGCACAGGATCCAGTCCAGTTTGAAAGCCTCTATTGAAAAATGGGCCCCTTGTTTTTCAAGCCTGTTAGCCAGAGTGCTCATGACCCAGAAGCAGGTCTTAAGTTGAGCATTTTCCACCACAAGATCAGGATAGGCAGCAGTTACATTTGCAGTGGTCCCTTCATTTTAAAGCCCTGCGTTAGCTGGACAACAGATTTTATTAGTGAAGGTTTTTCTCATTCATTTTACACACTAGGATATGTAAATGCCAAAATGTATACAAATGTTCATGTGTTTGCCTTTTCCTCTTTGCAGAATCACTCTGCCTCCATGACTGAAGTAACCTGAGATGGAAGATAGGCAACAGATGCTATTTTTTATTACCCTCCAGTACAATACTCCAAGACACACAGTTACTAAATGTCTAACTGTGATGACCAGTATTATGTTATGTCTAGTTAGAGGCTAATGTTTTGTACTTTTTTGTATGAGGAAGTGATGTAGCTTGCCCTGATTTTTTGTCAGCTTTAATATTATTATGCCAGAATTTAAAAGCAAAATGGAAAAAGAACAAAAAATCTTTTCTTGTTTAAAGTGTGCACTGAGGAACTACATCTATGGAATTGTTGCTGTTGTTATGTGATATTTGTACACGATTTTTTTTTTCATTTTTTAATTTATGTATCTTGAAAAAAAATTCACTTTTACCTTTTCTTACCATAAGAAGTGCTTCTACCAGTGGGTCAGATTCTGATCTGAGTAAACTCAGCATAGATCTGAAGCAACTGCATATATTTAACTCAGATTGAAGTAACAGTGATCAGGAATCTAACCCTAATGATACTATCAACAAGTAATAAGCATCCATGTTTGATTCAGTTTGCTGCTTAAGCCCTCAGTTGGCCATCCAGTTTCCACACTGCTTGGCAGTCTTGAAGTATATCCTTAGGCATCTTACTGAATCAAAGCCTGATTGTTCTGGTGTGGGTGATTGTGCTAGTTATTGAAGAATAACTAAAACAATGTACTTGGTCTGCAATATAGACAGGCTGGACGTTAAAAGTTATAGTAGTAGCTGATAGCATGTGAGCTGACTATATCATCTCCCTAGATCTCTGTTCCTCCCTGAGGCTCAACTAAAGCTCCCGGTGAAACCTGGCTTCAGGAATTGACTATGGGGATATACAGCCACCACTGCGGAGCTGAGGCTGTGCTTTAAGTGTTCCATAACTTCATCATAGATTTGTGGGGTAACTAGTAACACTGGTGCAAAGGAAAAGTGACAGCACTTCTCCAGGGGTGTGGCATTACTTGGCATTCAGAATGTCAGAACTAAGAAGCCAATTTTGCCCCAACAGTGTAGTTTTCACTGAAGGGCTTTGGCAAGTCAAAAAGATTTGAAACTGACAGTCTGTAGTAGCAGTCTGCATCTTTGTAAATTCTGCCATACAGAATTTGTATCAAAACTGCTGTTTTACAATTTAACAACTTTGTTTAACGAATGAAAAGATAATTAAATGGGAGTGGGGTGGGGGATTAACAAAAAAGAGCCTGTTTATAATGGCTAGAACTGGGGCAAAGGCTTCATTACATGACTTTTCACTGTTTCTAGGATTTTCCTGCATCTCATTCTTCTAGCATGGTAATTGCTGTGTGTCTCCTTTAAAGAATGGAGCCTTTGTCTGTACTTTTACTAGAATGTTTACCTCACATTTCCATGTTGGTTCTTCTTGGCTTTTTTGTATATTTTTTCCAAAACAGATACAAAAAAAAATTATCAAAAAAACCCAATGTGCCACCTGGTCTTTGTTATTTGCCTGTGAGAAAAAGAAAATTTGGGATGTCTGTGTGTGGTCTGGTGGTGTTTCTTCCAAGTTGGTATTTTCTTCTGACTCAACTGGTGTCTGCTTCAGCCTTAGGAATATAAGGATCAGACTTGGGCTATGCAGGCTTTCTGTGGCTGTGAGGAACAACCTGCACTGTTCTGGCTCCTTCACCACAACCTTGATCCAGATTTTCCACGGAAAATTTCTGCTGGAGAAATTTGGCTGTGGAACCAGTCCTTGTTAGAATATTTACATTAGGAAAGCATTTCAGCAATGAATACTCCATTCAGTACACCCAGTCAGCAGCACCTAAGGCCATTCATACTGCAAAGGGTTAGCAGGGGGTTGAATTCTAAGATAAAACTTCATATGCTATAGCTTAGCTTTTGTAGCTGTGGTCCCTGGGGTTGTGTCACAAGAGAGCTGTTACCAACAGCATTAATCTTCCATTCTTGGTTAACAGCTTCCAGAGAATTGGTAGCGATGTTGTGCCCCTCAGCTTATCCTCTAGCATGGTGGTGTGGGCAGTTTGTCTGCAGGTGGAAGATGTGGGTTTGAGTTTCTCTCCCATCCTCCAGGTTGAAGAAGGATTTGAATCTCATTTCTTCACTTCCTGAAGGACTGCTTTATCCTTTGTTACAGTGCAGCATGGTAAGAGAGATCTTTTAATAATAAGTGAGCCCTGCTGTCTTCTCTGACATGGTACGTAGGGATGCCTACACTCAGGAGACTTCTGCAAATGCCCAAGTTCTGGATGACTGATTAGATGAAGCTAGACCTATCACACACGTTCACTGCATTTCCTCTTGGCTTGCTCTCTCTGTTTGCTACCATTTTAGATTTCTAGTACTCTCAGCCTTTTCCAGTTTACAAATAAATACCTGCACAAGAAATCTAAACCTAACTGCACATTTGCTTTTCCTAGGTACCTTTCTCTTCAGGAGCAAAGTATGTCTACCTCCTTGAATCTGTGACCCACTGAAAAATCAGCCTTTGGATATTTTCTTTTTTTAGTTCCTGTTCTGAGGCACATCATTCTCATGTCTGACAGGGAAGCAGGTGCCCCTGCAGAACTGGTCTTGCTCCTCCCAGCCTGTGGACTGTGCCCCTTGGCTGTGTGAAGGCTCTGGAACACAACTCTGGGGATCAGGAAAACCATCTGCTCCTGTCATAATCATGCATGGAGGGAAAATTGGCACACATTATCAAAACCAGAGGTCATCATTTGAAATGAAATGTCCATCCTTCTCTAAATTTGAATGGACAGACTTTGCTGATGCCCCCCCAGAGTGGTGTAGGGCAGCCTCCCTCACCTGGTTGTATGTGTGCTGTACACACACAGGAGCCTCTGTAGTGCACCACAACTTTCTCTCATGGAGACACTGGTCCACCCAGTCTGGCATCCAGGCTTTCTGTTAAGGTACTGTTAAATACCCTCCTGACTAGCTTATTTACGCTTTCATTTGGTCTTCCGTACTGTTTCCATTAAACCAAATAAAGAGCAGCCCTTCTGCAAATGAATAGGCAAAACTTTATTTATTTATAATTGAATTCAATAGAAATTAGATACTTGTGAAAGCCCAAGCATAAAAAAAAGGGTTTAGACATGTAGAAGTCTAAGCCCCTCCATGGCACAGGTGTCCTATGCAAGACTTTGATCTCATTTCCAACTTCTGCTTTTTCAGTTTGTTACCAGCAGTTCAGAGTTTCAGATCTCAAACTCCCATGTCTGATCCCCTTCCTGTGTATGTCAACCCCTGTGGCTTCTTGCACAGCTGTGCTGGTGGAAGCGTGAGGTTTGCACCTTAAAGTATCTGAGAATGGGGAGATGGCAATTTGACACAACTCAAACACAGCAAAACATGAGATGAGGTGGTTGTGATGCCCTTTTCTTGCCCATCCTCCTATTTTTCAGTCCTGTTTTTTGCTCTCTTCTGATTACAAGAACTATGAAAGTTACATACTGGGAGAGACACAGAAAGGGGGAATGCGCAGAAAGTGCAACTACCACTGAAAATGTTTTTCTAAATCATGAGTCCTGAGTAAGAAGCAGCAAGAAGATGCAAGTATCTCTCCTTTTTTTTTAGGGAAAGAAGGCAATCTCATTAAAAAGATACTTCCAATTCATTACTCCCAAACAGCCTCTGAAGCAGACAAGATGACACAGATTTAGCTATTTATCACACTATTTTTCCCATAAGTTGCAGGGAACAGCCATCCACAGTGACCAGTGAAACTGTCACCCCGCAATGGCATGTGCAGTAGTACACTTACGTTCTTCTCTGATTCCCCAGGACTCAAAAGCAGAAAAGAGGAGGTTTCTTAAATTTCTTCAGAGCTGTGGGAAGAAAGTACCTGAGAAGTTTGCTGAATAAAGAAACTAAGCACTGTAACTCACAAAAGCAGCAGTTCCTAAGTATGCCTCAGGTATTTTATAGGCTAAAAGAAACCAGGGGAGCTAGGGTTCAGGAGAGCGAGTGGTATAACCAGGGTATTTCTGGATCATTCCCAGAAATGTGGTTTTATTTAAGATGGCACCTGTGATGGCTTTTAGAAACATTATTGCTGACAGGGTCTTCTTTTCAACCTCAAGGGACAAAAAGAAAAAAGGAAAAAAAATATGCTGTCTTACCTCCCTGCTCCTTCCCAAGAGTTTGCTAGGCCCTGCTCTTGGTGGCCGAGTTGAGCAGGGCTCCTGGCACACCCAAATTGCACTTGCAAAAGCCCATTACACAGTTCAGACCCAAACCCAGAAGTTGATGAGGTGCAGGGATGAAACCAGGGAGCTGGTCCTCCTGCTTATCCCCACTGGATCTTCTGCTGGGGAGAAGGTATGTTAGTACCCTTAGTGACCACACTGCATCACTGTTTCACAAGGAAAACTTCTGCTCTTTTTTATGTATATAATAAACAGAAACAATGAAACATCATGAAGACAGTTAAATCAACTTTTATTAGTGATAGTCACATACTCAGTTACTACCACAATGAAAGGGCTCTGCTTCTGCTCTGCAGTCCTGCGCTAGGAACACACACAAAGCAAAGCTGTGCTTTGTGGTGCAGCTCACTGCTCCCAGATAATCTTCAGGTTCGGGGGTAGCTCTGCAGCGCACAGTTCATCAAACTTGGACATATCCTTCACAGGAGTGCTATAGAAATTCAAGACATCCTCAGCAGTGCGCATCAGGTGGAGCTGTGAATTAGGGACAGCATGATCAAGTTCTGCTGCCAGCTGAGCCAGGAGGCAGTACTTTAACCTGGTTTCTTTGAGGGGTGTCTGCTGCCAATTATCAGGAAGTGAGGGTCCAAAAATCTTCTTGACAAGAAACTCAAGGCAGCTCTGTATATCCTCTGGAGGAAGATAGTTTCTGTTGCGTGGTGGGGGACAGATCAGGCTGAGTTCACTTTTCTCCTGAGGAATTTTTTTTTCTGCTTCTACTTCTTTTTCTTCCTTCCTGTTGAAATCAGAGAGAAGTATTTTCAGTCTCTGGACTACTCAAGACTGAGTCAGAGCACAATTCTGTTCATGGTCTTTTAATATCAGGCTCAACCTAGCCTGTAGAGAGCTTACACATCATATGGACACAGTAGGTTTGTTAAGCATGCAAGAACAAAAGCACATAGGCTAGATCTCTGCTTTTCCCCCAAATGCCACTCGCCACATAGGTTGTCTACATAACGATCACCTGCCCAGTTTATTTTATTGGTCTAAGTGTAAGCAGAATTTTAACCAGATTAATGACTTAATTTTCCCAGTTACAGCTCTGTTTTCTAATCTGCTGTGAAAAAAAAACCCACAGAAAATAACCACTACTATAGAAAACATTAGTGCCCACTTATAAAAAAGACAGGATCACTAGTTTTAACTAGAAAATTGAAGCCTATCCCAAGGTACCAGACTTACATGCCACAGTGTAGTCAACATGTACGGTTTCACCTGAAATGTAATACAGAAACGACCGTTTTTCGTTTCTACTGGAGTACTGCCCTGAAACATCTGTCAGTTCCCTTACCAAAACAGGTAAGGCACTAAAAGACCTAATTCCGCGCCGTCACATCCGCCCCCCAGCAGCGCCCCCTTTGCTGCGCAACTCGAGGCCGGCGATCCAAGGCACTTTCGCCCGGACCACAAACACCGAGCTCCTGGCCGCTCGCAGGCCCGGCACAGG